GCGTTCTCGTCTAACAATGCCTTGCACTTCTGCCAATACTAAAACTCTCGGGACATTGGACGAGTCAGTAACCAAGAAAGTTGCTGTCGGGACGAACTCATTCACATGTGGCCACACAGGATATACAGAGATTCTATCGCGAATGCCCAGATGCCTCTTGATCCGTAGTTCCACACTCTGCCCCAGCCTAAATTCCAATGAATACTTCTCACTGCGAAAATCCCATGGAAAGGCCTTGCTGTGGAACCAAAAATCAAAGTTCATCCCTCGTTCGAGGGCAATTTGCGCCAGATAAGTTTGTAACTGGTCTGGATTTCGAATCGTTTGCATCAGAACACCGTGATCACCCTCCTCTGTATCCTGGGAGAGGCTCTCCGGGGTTGCAGTGTTTTCCCCACGATATGCTCCGAATTGCGAATATTGCATCCTCACCTGGTGTAGTTCGCTGTCAAATGTGAAGCTGCTGTCATAGTTGCCTTGACACTGCGCCGTTATATTTGGGGTTGCAGTGTTTTCCCCGTTCTCTTCCTCCAGATATTTGCTGCACACAACTTGTCTCACTTGCCCATCTCCCGAATGTATGCTGTCGCGTTCCATTGCTACTCTCCTTCTCTAGGCACCGCTGCCATGTATACTTCGGGGTTGCAGTGTTTTCCCCTTCATCGTGATCTACACCATGTTGAAGAGGAAGTTGTAAGCAGCTCGTGTCATCGCTGCTAGATGAGCTCAGCTCAGAGGAGTTTGAAGAGTCCGGAACGAGTCGTCTGGCAACTTCTTCTGCTTGTATGTATGGATCATAGGCATTCAATTCCATGTGCGGTCCACAGTCAAGTTCTTGGATTTTCTGCCTTGACTGAAAAATCTTGATCACCGTCGCAGGAATCCATTCAACTTGAAATGACGGTTCCACCCAACGACCATCAACTTCGTAGGCACAGTCATCCCCAGCCCATGCAAGATAGCTCTGGCTGTCGAACTCAGCGACAAATTCGGACACCTGTTTGGCCTTCGTCACCAGAACAATCTGCGTCAGAGTGGAGAGGCCTTCCGGACGGTATTTGACCAAGTATGGTATTTGTCTAGGTTGGCCTTGCCTTGCCACTATCAAGAGAGGAGCTTCTTGTACCAGTTTAACTCTCCCGAGAAAACCTCTTATGGGACCCCTCAAACTTGGCGAAAGCAATGGCTCTAACCATTGTCGAAACTCACGCTCATCTGTGATGGAGTGTAGTTCACATCTGGCTAGCACATCCCGAATAACAAACCCGTCACCTGATACGACCTGTATAGTGAACGTTTGCTGCACTGTAGAGAATGCTCTACGCAAACCACGCAGAATGGTATCCAGATCTGCAGAGAAGTCACGAATCGACAGATCTAATACTGTCTGCATCAGACCACTTTCATCCACTATCGCATCTCTTTCTGGTGTCTGCATTCCATGACCATGAACTGCAGACTGGTCACAGGAGTCTTCATGCAGCACTAGATCAAGTCTTTGTCCATCGGCGTCTATCGGCAGAACTTCATCATCAATTGGCATTCCTCCTAATTGGAATTTGCACAAGACTCGACGACAATCCCTCTCAAGACGCAACCATCGAATCACACTCTGCTGCGTGACAGGAGAAGCAAACATTCCTGCCAGAAGAGTGTGCTTGTATGGCTCGATATGTGACCAATCCACACAAACCAGAATAGCAAAATGCCTTTCAACTGGCACAAAAAGGATCATGTGAACATCGTCTAGTCCGAGTTGTTGATGCGGGGCAGGCTGAGGTTCTACCCACCATAACTTGGCTACATCTGCAAGTGGGAAACTTTCTGCCACTCGCAGTCTAACCCAAGGCACTAGCTGTTCCTGATTCCAAGTATTGTCCCAGACGAGACCGGCTGACTGTGGTTGGTGTCCGTCAGTAGGAATGTGTACGTGCAAGAACGTGCTTCTATATCTACGTTGCAACAGAAATTGAACTTCATCTCTAAAGTGAGTCTGTGCATTGCAACTAGTTATTGCGGCCACTCTTCGCGTGAAAATTCTCCAATAGGCACGATTCCTCTCCGAAACCGGGACTTGTCGAGAATGCAGACGCCTTTCCTGAGAGTCTCTCCCATGGCGAATGAATCTTAAGAACCTGCGAGTCTCGAAGATGGCAGTGAATTGTTCAAGGAACAGGCTATGTATCGTGAGATCGATTTGAAAGAGGCTCTGTTCTTCAGTGCTCAGCTGACTGCCATTCTGCAACAGTGTCGTTCCAAGTGAAACAGCCTTGCGCTTCCTGGAAACACCGGCACAAGAAATAGCACGGCTCAACTTACAATAAGCACCTGCTCTTGCTTCTACAATGTCCTCCCAATCGAAAATCACAAAATCATTTCCGTTCCAACAGGCCATTTGGCAATGATGATTGCAGAAGGCATCGAACTCTGTACCTAAGAAAATGTCACGAACCTTTGAGTTTCTCTCAGCCCAGACTCCACATCGCACCGTGATGTGCGCCATGACGTCCACCAAGAAAGGTCTTGCATGAATCAAATCATCTTCTCTGGGAATGATGAGCAGTTCCGGACCTTCTTGCGTATCGGAATGCATCTGTGCCATAAAGACAGTGACGAAGCTATTATCTCCCCTTGGGAGCCATGCAGCCAGCAATGCATTCTGCCAATTGAGAGCTTTATAGCAACTGATTCTTCTTGGTGTCTTATTGATTCTGTGCCACCTAGAAACGAAATATGTGTCAAGCACCAAAGGATCCACCTCTGGTAGTCGTATAGCAGACTCGGTCAGGAATGCCCTCAGGAAGTCTCCGACCTCTGCTTCACGTCCTAAAACCACTGCTCCGTGCACTGCTGCAAGATGCGATTGGAAGTCTTGAGTTCCACTTTCGCTTTCTTGTAGAAGTGGACCGAGATCACTCGCCTCTGACCTTTCCATTAGCGACATGACCTCGTGTTCTGCTTCGTGGTGGACTGTATTATCCTTTTTCCTTGTAGGTTGGATGTCAGAAGACAAAGCAGAAGTCTCGGCATGGATCCTAGCTCTCACACCTACAAAATCCAAGCAAAGGAAGATCAAGACTATTGCTTTCATCTGCCTTCTATTGATTCTATGATACCTATGTGATCGAGGTGCAGTTGGCTTTTTGGCTACTCTCAACTGACACCAAGTTTCCCAACATGCATAAATTCCGGACCCGAATAAGGCAATTAGTTCAAGACAGCAGAAGAGCAGTGCTTGTGCGATAACCTCATCTGCAAAGTCGTCGACATGACACTGCTCCCACCTAGAATCATTGACCCTTGAATGCTTCTCGAACGAACTAATTACTGGCCTTTCAAGTCTGGCAAGACATTGGGAAAAATCGGAGGCATGGAGTAGCACAGAAAGCCTGGAAATGCTTCTTAGGCGTTCCCATCTTTGCACTTCTCCATTATCGATATCTCTGGCTGTTTGTAGAAAAGGGCGGCAAAATGAGCCTTCACTCCAGCAGTTATAACTATCCGTCCGAAGGCAAGCCTTCAAAAATGGCGCCAACGGACCATTCTGACAACAATCAGCTACATGAGAGCATCCCCATTCTTCATGGCTGAGTATCACTTGGCCTCTGCTGGATCTACATCTGCCTTTTCCCCTTTTTCCTTCTTCTCCACAGCCTGCTTCAAATGAGTCTGCCTGACTCCCTTGGGAGGCGATGCAGCACTTGTAGCTTTGCCCGGTCGAGGAATGGCTCTTCGAAATGCCCTCAGAGCAACTGCTGGTTCTGCAGTTTTGTCTGCAATCATCTCTTCCTCCATTTCTTCTTGCATTTTGTCGTCGTCTATGAGCTCCGATTCCTCGATCTTGCCAAGCATCTTCTGCATCTCCTCGAGAGTGGGAATTGCATCCCCCTCGTCTTCCACACTGATATTTGTCCTTAGTGCAGAAGCTACATGCTTCACCTGCGTCCTCAGCAAACTCAAATTCTCTGCTGCCTCGACAAGTGCAGCTTTGGCCTTCTCTCTGTCCCGTTGATAAACTGCCCATCGCTCTTGCATGCTGTTCTTCGCTTTTAATGCAAAGGCCTGCCAGTCTTTGTCGACTTTTTGCACTTCCTGTTTGCAGAGCTCCACCTGCTTTTGGGCCTTCCCAAGTTTGGAAAGATGCCCATGTGTCAGGCGAGGACTCGATTCTCCTCTCTGCTCCAGGGTTTGAATCTCCTTTGCCAAGCTCGAAGTTGCTGCAGTCCCATAGTAGCTTCTGATAGCTGCCAGGTGTTGCTGAATATCCACTGTGGCGGCATTGCTTTCTACCCCACCTGGAGGAGCAGGCGGTGGTGGTAGTCTCGGCGAGGGTGGCAATGCTGGCGTGGTCTGCGATCTCCCCTTGCTCTTGGCTTCCTTCCTGGGCGGAGGCGTAAAAGGATCTTGCTCTTTCCGCTTTTGAGACTTCGATCGATCTCGCTTCCAGTCTACTGCCGTATAGTGCTCTCCGCAGTAGAGACAATAGAGAGCTTTGGGGGCATTCTTCTGACCACACTGGCAAATCCACCTGAGAGGCATTGTGGATATTTGGCCTGGCAAGGAACTGCCGTGATGAGAGACAACTCGGATGGTCGCCTTTCTCAAGCGATGGGGTGGTATCTTGCTGCCTGAGATCCAGGCACGCAAGGTCCTTCTTGCAGCTTTCCTCTTTCTCCGCTTGTTGCGGTGCCACGTAGGTTCCCTGTAGGATTTCGTAGTCACCAAATCTCAAAGCAGAGCAAATGAGGGCAAAGATAAAGGCCACCACGACGGGTCGAACCGCCGCAACCATGAACGGTCACCGCGGCCCTGAGGCTACCGGCTAGAACTAACCTAACACCGGAGGGGACACTTCCGGTGAAAGGTCGGAGCCGAACCTTTTCTCCACCAAAGAAAAAACCAAAGTATACGGGTTCTTGCTCTGTGCTGGGACTCTAAATTCACTGAGCTTGTAAGTTTAATAGCCGCGCCATGTGTGCAACGCCATTTGGCCAAGCAGCTGTAGTGTTAAGAGCCAATTGGCATTTGGTGAGCTTCTTGTCACCTTTGCAAAGCCTGGCCGCGGAAACAGTCGAGATATCCACAGCAGTTGAAAGGACCAGCAATTGCTGATTGCGAACCTCCACAGCTCAACCACCATTGAAACTCTGTGACAACTAACGCATCTTGTGCCTGAGCTAATCGATTTCTATATCAGAGAATGTCACCTGTGCCTTTGCTGTAAACAGGACAAACCGACGGCCGGTCACCTCTTTTCCCTGGTCATGATGGGCAACAGGCGATGTGGTAAGTCGGTGATGCTCTGCGCCACCAAATCCAGCTCCTTCTTCTGCCTTTCATCGACAAATCATCCGAAATGCTCGACTGGAAATATGATGCGGCAGAAAGCCCTGTCACAGCGAACATAGTACTGCTTTTCGCAATGGTGTCTGCACTCCTCCATCTTAAGGTTCAGTTCAGTGTGGTAAGACGACCACACTGAGAGGGAGCGAGCGGGAGCGAGTCTGCAAGACAGTGAAAGGAGAGCTGGTTTTGGCTAAGTACACTGTTTAGAACTCCAAGTGTTTCCAACCTTTGGAACTCAAATTGAAGAAAAACTGTTGCCGAGCGGCTCCACCGAACCTTGTCTCATCCTGGGGGCTGAACGGTGTGCAACGAGTTGGAACTATATCTTGGAGACAAATAGGTGGCGATGCACATAAAGGCCGAAAAAAATGAAGATACAATGATGGAAATGGGTCTTGGGGGGATGTTGTCGTTTTTCTGAGGTCCTTGCAAGTGGGGTCAAATGACCAAGGGGACATGCAAATGATCCAATGTTTGGGATTGCCCCGCAGGCGACTGGCTTTGGTTTTGGAAGTTCACAAATGGGATAGGCAGAAAGAGGCCGCGGCTGCGCGGCAAGGCGATATCCTCATGGCTTCCTTCATGGCGAAATAGCGCTCCATCTCCTCGATGGCTTCCAGGTGCGATTCTGCCACCTCGACAGGAACAGGAAGGCCTTCGATAGGAAGGCCTTCGGTTTCAAGCTTTGTAAAGCTCCGAGCATCCGATCCACCCGATGCACCCAGTGCACCTGGCTGGCTGCGATATCGCAGGGTGACACCCCGCATGCCATCTTCGAGGCCGCCCTGGCAGCTGCGAGCCTCGCATCGGCATTGGTCACCTGCTCGTGCAGCGCTGTGCTCGTGACACTCGAGTGATGCATATTGTGCAGAATCACTAGTAGCGATGGCCTCCAACCTACTAACCATGGCCTCCACCTAACAGGGTCCTTGCTTCTGAAAGAGAAAAACGAATGATTGAACATTATAAAAGGAGAACTATACGAACGCTCGGCCATGCCTGGGCCTTCGCCTGCCCCAGGCTCATCTGCAGCGAGGCACTTTCGGCCGTAGCATTTGAGAGCATTTTCTGCGCGTTTTTCGGAACAAGGACGCTACTAGGAACAAGTGCATCGCTTCTAGTAACAAGTGCCTTACTAGTAGTAACAAGTGTCACGCTACTAGGAACAAGTCAGTCCAAACCGGAGCCGAGCGGACTCGAACGGCGCTCCCTAGCATCCTTGCTCTCGTAGCTTGTTACTAGTAGCGATGGCTTCCAACCTACCTCGAAGCATTATAAAGGCATATAAAGGCAACGTTTACGATGGACATGGGACCGCTTTGTTTCGACCACTGTGCGGACTCCTTGAGCTCCTGGGCTGCTTCTTGTACCGCCGGAGACCCCGGATACCTCGGACTTCACAGGAAACTAGCGGACAGCTGTTGTCATTCTTCTCTGCCAACAACACATGGTCTGGGACACAGTGTCCTCTCCCAGACTTTGAGGTGGGTTACTAATTGATTGAAACGTGTTCATTGAAATTCTAAAGTTGAAGGAGGAAGGAGAAAGGAGGAGGGTTCTAGTGGAGAAAGCCAGGCATGATGACAAATCTTGCGGGACTTAAAGCTGCACCACAAGTTGGCGTGGGAAATGAGAGAACTGGAGCAATCATGACCTGGCGAAGTCCTGGTGCGTGCTCAAGGGCTAGGCTTGCTCCTTCCATCCGTGTAAAAAAACTTGAAAGCAAAATTGGGTGAGGCTTTTGTAAGAACTGCGAAGAACGCGTTTTGCTGGTGACTACCATGAACCAGTAGCTAGCACGCCACCGTGTTCAAAGCTGGGAAGGCTTCACAATCTAAATCACTCGGTCTGCGGCAACCCGTTTCACTGTCGCCCAGTTTCCAAGTGACCCATCTGTGAAACGGAAGTCAATGTTGGGAGGGCCGATATCCAGCCAAAAGTGATAGTTTTGGAATGATCAGGGCAATAGAGTCATGTCATACATCCAACCTACGACTTTCGTTTGCAGCATAGGCCAATCCAAATTGTGAAGTTTGAGCAAAGTCAAATTCTATTTTTAGAATATGTTCAAACATGTCACCTGCCAAACCACCGGTGAAGCGCGTCTCCCCCCAGTTCCGTGCACTCCAAGCCACGTTTGACTAGTGACATTGACCACCTGCCGGTGCTGTCTTGATCCGGTTCACTTGGTGACCTCTGAGATGTTCTACCTCAACCAAATCTTCCAAGTCTTGTCTAGGTCACTTTGTATATAGAAACTAGACTGTTTTCAGGCGTCAAACTCCAGCACCGCAGGGTAGCAATGATAGAAAAACACACAATCAATAGACGTTTACCATGTTTAAGCGGAACATTTACCGACATTCATCTGCTATCCAATACTGCTATCCCACCAGGCAACCCAAAACCTCTGAAACCGTCGAAGGTTGCGGCTAGCCTTGTCCGAGGCTGCATCGATCTTGTTTGCGAGGGTGGTGACCTGTCGATCTAAAAAAATACGTCTCGACGGCCTCCAGATGCCTCCAGGCTCCCTCGACGCTTCGAGTCCCCAAAATTGACCAAACAGCCTCGACCACCTCAAACTTTTCCAAGAGCGAAAGCACAAACATAGTTCTTCTCCCGCTCCCCCCCAATGGCTCTTTTGGGTTTCAAAGCGTTCTTGCATTGATGTGTTGCAACAGCTATGTCTTCATGGTGATGTGTTTGCTTCACCCTCAGAACTCCTGATCTGGCTGCAATGTGTTCAGATATCTTTGAGACTGCACCTTCGAGAGCTTCAACGCGATGACCTGATGAACAACGAGTTCCACAATCTGGAGGGATCAATCACAACGAATAATTGCAACAATGCAAAGAATCCTTGCTAAGTTGGAACATTCGTAACTAGAGCGGAAACCAAAAATGCCAGGGCGAACGCACCCTCCATGTCAGTTTTTCTTAGAAGGGTGTGTTGCAGGTAGATGTATATATTGATACTAAAAAGGATTGGAATTAAACAAATCCTTTCAATGATCTTTTTGGAACTGGATGTTCTTGTTGCATGCCCCGATTGGAGGATTAGCTGAAGCCTGGCGGGCTCTTGAGAAGAAAGTCTCAGGATTTCTATTGTGGAGAAACATCCTGGCATTGGCCCTCCTTCCGTTGAAGATCCAACGAAACAAACACTGCAATAAGTTTGGCGGAACCTTATCCAACTCGTCATCGTCGTCTTTTGGGATCATCGGTTGCGTCGCCATGGCAAGGTGGAACCACGCCAACCAAACCACGGCCACACCGGTGTTCAGCGTGGAGCGCATGGCAATGCCAGTGTTCAACGGAAGGTGCCCTTGGAGCCGAGAATAACTGAACAAAAGTGTCGAAACACATGAAATGAAAACAGTTAAAGCGTTGACATCATGGACGATGTTCACCTCACGTGCTTGGTCGTTAACATATTGCATTCTCTGCGCGATCAAGTCGAAGAACGCTGCGAATTCCAAACTACAAACACACACTCACTTGTGTCAGTGCGCGCCCACGGCCGGCGTGCCAGCGGAAGGCGGTCCGCACCAGGTTCTTGCCCGCTGTGGGGCTGGTCTTTCTACCCCATGTTGGAGCAGTCAAACAAAGGTAGTGGTCGAACCAGATCATTGCAGGTCCTGATAGGCCCAAAAATGAACATGAGAACGCGTCACAAACGTGCGAACTTGGGCCATGCAAAAATGCATGAAAGTCTTGACACCCCACCTAAAGTGTCGATGTGCAAATCGGCAGCTTTTCACCTCATGCACTGCGATCTCTTAGATAGCGCTCTGCGTGACCCTTCCAGTCACTTTCCCATTAGCTTGACATCACTGCCGCGCTAAACACGCCGTAGCCTGTTCTCTCTTCATGATTCCATCCCAGCATGTAGTCAAAGGCGATACGCGGGTGCATAGCATGTGGGTCGAAGTCAACCTTTGGTGATTTACTCCTTCAGCATTCTGTCAGTGAACATGCACGGCTGTTTCACCTTCTTTGCTCGTCGTTCTTCTTCTGGCTTTCAGGTACCGGAAAAAGACTTCCCAGTTGTCCCAGTCCATGTCAACCGGGGGCTCGTTTCTGTTGTAGTCTGCCCAGATACCACCATCACCAGGTTCACCTGAGTCTCCATCAACTTCCATACTCACTCCTTCTTCTTCGTCTCTTTAGGCCGTTGGCCTGTAGTGTCTGTGGTATTTATGTACTTGAACTCCCATCAAAAAGTCTTCTGCACTTTCTGCGTCTTCTTCACGTCTGAAGTCTCTCCTGCAAGCACTGACCGGATCCCAGTCTGTGATCAGAAACCCAAACGTCCTGGCCTGAGGTCTCGCCATCTGAAGTCCTTTCCCGTCCATCTTCTCGAAATTGTCCATCATCTTCTTCTCGATATTCCTCTGGAGGTTGTTCTCGATGTCCTTGTCCAGCTTGTAGTCTCAAAGGCTCCACGGGCTCCACGCCCTGCAAAGCATTGAGAGGCTCATTTTTTGAAACCCATTCACCTCCAGTGGATTCCACGCTCATTCGAATTGCATGTTCTCAAAGATCCAAACCAGGTCTAGGCTCATCTCTGTCTCGAAGTCGTTGGAGGTCTGTTGCCCAATCTTGTTGAAGGAATCGGCAAATCCTTCTGTACCACCATCCAATTTTTACACTCTTGGCATAGCCAATCCACACGCCAAAACCGAACACGGAGATCGTGTAGATGAATGAAGAAAATCTTGTAGTACCACACGATGTCACCATTGTTCTTGTTGTCGCTCATAGCTTTGATTCATCAGCCATCTTTCCTTCCAAGAACTCCAGGCTGTACTAGGAGTAGCGTCACCACCTTCACCGTGTTCTTGGGCACCTTGAAGTTAAAGCCATTGTACTCCTCAGCCACAATCTGGACCATCTGCTTCTTTACTTCTCTCATTTTTTTAGCCAATGTTTTCTTGGTCATTTTTTCTTGGAAGCTCTCCTCACCGACATGAGTGAAAGTCTCCTCCTTGCCGTCCACGTT